TTAAAGATTTTATTTATTTATTTGACAGAGAGAGACACAGTGAAAGAGGGAATACAAGCAGGGGGAGTGGAAGAGGGAGAAGCAGGCTCTCTGCAGAGCGGGGAGCCCGATGTGGGGCTCGATCCCAGGACCCTGAGATCATGACCTGAGCCGAAGGCAGCCGCTTAACGACTGAGCCACCCAGGCGCCCTTCAAATGTATTTTAAGCTTATTCTGCTCTTCTAGAGACTTGGGCTTCTGGGAAGGAGAGGCAGCCCCAGGCCCCAGCAGCCCCAGCAGCCCCAGCAGCCCCACCAGCAATGGAGCCCTCAACACATCCCCCACAATCCTTGCTTTCCCGTGTGCTGGCCAAACTTTATTTTCCGAGCCGGACACGGCTTTTATGACATCACATACTCCTCTCTGTGGTTATGGTATAAATATTATGTACTTGGTCCTCCAGGTGTTGGCTCTGGATATTTCAAACAGACTTTGGGGATTAAAAAAAAACAACAACAACCACGTTTCTCTCTCAAGTGCCTCGCTCTTATAATTGAAAGCCATAGCTTTTAAGACCTTTTTCTCTGCTATAGACTTCACAAAATTATTTTCAAGAGCTTAAAAGTTAAGCATTTAGTTGTTCACCCTGTAGCATCTCTGTATCTCTAGTTCTAAAAAACCTAACACTCTTTGAATGGTGGGAAAAAAGAGATAAGTAAGAGGAATTTTTTAAAAACCCACATAAATATCCACATATTATCCCACTACACGAAAAAATATATTCATTGCACACTTAATTATGGAGGTGATGAAAAAACTTTTATTTGTAAGAATTCCATCTTGGGTGGGGGGGGGAGAAAAAATCCTTAAATCACCCTGGGGGGGTGTTGGGGGGTGAAGACTGAGATCCTAGGGACATGTTATAACAAAAGTTGGTTTCCAAACTACTACGTAAAAGGAAGGAATTTGTTTGCACCAGTGAAGGAGCAGGGAGGTTAATGAGCAGAGGAGATTGAGGCAGAAAGAAGTCAAGAAAGACGGCAGGATGATGCACACTGCAAAAAGTGACAGATTCTAAGACTTCCTAGATCTCCAGTGTAATTCTATCAATCGACAAGAAAAATGTTTGGTCTAAGTGTGAATAGCTGCACTTTGAACTCAACATGATGCAGGGATAAACAGATCCAATGTAAGGCAACAGAAAGTGTCAAGCCACGGGCAAAAGTAAAGCCTGCTCCACACACAGCGGCCGCCCCCCGTTGTTCTGGCAACTTACTGGCTCGGCCCTATTATTTACTATCCTCGCTTTCCTCTTGTACTTTCCTCTTGTGTGCGGGTGCTGTGTTTTCATACCTTTACGCAATGATCTGCCTTTCCTCCTTTGCTGCAAATGAGCACCAGAGAGCCAGTCACCCACAAACCTGGTTCCAGGATCGCTTAAAAAAACCCAGCTCTCTTAATTTACCTCCAAGAGACACTTTTTTTTCACTTTCGCTGGAGTCTCAGCAAGCCGCGCCAGATTGTGCATGCGTTTGACCTTCTTTAAGTGCGAAGCATTCACACACACGCGGGCACACACACGTGTATATTTGATAAATGTAGTATGACTCATTGCATGTCTCAAGTGATATATTATCAGTGTATACGCAGATAGTGTATGTTGCGTGGGGGGGGGCTTTAAATATTATATATAATACGTATATAAATCCTTCAAATAATTATATTTCTATTTATATTATAAATATTATGTATAAATAGACACTTGGACATTAACTGGCTGCCATTAGGACCATCCTCAGCATGATGTCACATTCAAAAGAAACACAAAGTTCATTCCAAAATGATCTTTGAAAACAGTGTCTTTATTTAGATGTTTCTTAAAGAGACAGGGACCAGAGAACCGCATCCCATAACACATGGCAAGATTTCTTTCTTTCTTTCTTTCTTTTTTAAGATTTTATTTATTTTGACAGAGAGAGACAGCGAGAGAGGGAACACAAGCAGGGGGAGTGGGAGAAGCAGGCTTCCCGCAGAGCGGGGAGCCCCACGCGGGACTCGATCCCCGCACCCCTTGAATCATGACCGCAGCTGAAGGCAGACGCTTAAGGGCTGAACCACCCAGGCAGGCGCCCCACATGGCAAGATTTCTTAAACTTCTGCGCGGGCACCTCCTTTTCCCAGACTTTTATGCGTCTTGTGAGCAGCTCAAATATTTCTGTCCGCTCTCTCCAGGAACGCTCATCTCATCCTTGCTTTTCCCTACAGATCTCTTCTTTCTCATCGGCCTCCTTTCACTCCCAGGATCTTTTGCTTCCTCTCATGCAGCTCCTATTTTATGTAGATAGATCTACCCCTTCTCCAAGCTTCTTTTATTCTGTATCTACACCCACTATCCACCCCTCCTCTCAAATTAGGTCAACAAAGTCCTCTTGCTAATATCTGATCAGCCTGTTAGAGGCAGGAAAGGGGAAAATATTTTAAATTCTTGTATTTCAAAAAAAATATGTTTTGGCCCTGAGTACACAGATCACTGGAGCTAGGCTTGATTTTTGCTGGTATATTTACCTTCCAGAGAGTTCTGACGGGTCAGTGCCCTTACAAGAGCAGCTGTTACATGATTTGAATATCACCTCTGTTGTAGCAGAGAGGGACACAAACATTTCTCATTGAAGAACTTCGAGGCGGGGGCGGGGGTGGGGTGGGGTGGGGTTGTTAAGTATTTTGTTTGGGAAAAGTTAGCCCCCAGGGCCTGGCCTTTGTGACCTAGCAAGTGGGAATTTCCCTGCAAAATAAAGGTAGAATTTTGATCTTTAGAAGGCAAAATTTAAAAGAATTTTGAGTTTTGGAAGGCAAGAAGTTAGGAACAGATAGGAGAAAACAGAACTAAGCAATATGGCATTAGTTTAAATATAATTACGTGCAGGCCCTGTTCTAAGTGCTTGACTTAAATTAACTGATTTGATTCGCAAAACAATAGGATTTGAGCACTATTATTATCATTATTATCCCCATTTTCAAGTGTAGAAACTGAGACACAGGGAAATTAAGTAACTTAACCAAGTATCGGGGAAAAGCCCCAAATGGCAAAGAGCAACAGGCTTGCCAGGGACACGAGCAAGCCAGCAGCAGGTTGGCCTGCCAACACTTCATAGGTGCAGAAGTAGAGATGAGACTGAACGGATGGGGCCCAGATGGTCTATGACTCACAGCGCAGCAAACAGCGGGAACATCAGCGCGGCCACGGGGTTCCCTGCCCCTGAGTCCCATGGGGGTAACGGGCCCAGATGGCAGCTACTCACACGGCGGGGCGTGCTGCCTGTGGAGAACCCGGGGTCAAAGGCTCAGCACTTTTTATAGCAAGTGAGGTGTAAAGTACTCACACCGTGAGCACCCTGACCGACCTAACTGCTACGTGACTTGCTACGGAAACTGCTGGGGTCAGAGGATGAGGAGGTGCCGTGGTCTGGCGCACTCAGAAAGGTCGTGCAGAGACTCCTGGGGTCCATGGCACACTGCCTCTCCCAACACCAAGGTCATGGTTAGGAAGTGATGGAAAGAGAATTTGAACTGAGCAGTGTGGCTTCGAGTCCACACTCCCTACTCCGTGCCGTCGTCCTGCACTGAAGCCTAGTATTCGATTTTAACCTAGTGGTTGTTTTATTGTGCACTGCAGTGTGAGCTCCTCTTTAATAGCCACAAAACATAATAAAGCCTTCACACACAGCTTTAAGTCTGCCGTAGTTCGGACGCGAGGGGTTTGGCGTGCTGGCTGTCAGAGTGACAAATTGTTTCAAAAGAACAACCAATAGCCCAGGAGGTGAAATGCTGAGTGGAGAGAAAGAATTCAGTGGGAGCAGTGAAAAGGTCCTACGAAGGCTTCCTAGAGATATTGGGAAGGACGCGGAGTATTCCATCTTAAGTGGGACTGCATTGTGAGTTCATTTTTATTAAATCTTTTTTTTTTTTTTGACGCAGAGAGAGAGATAGTGAGATAGAGAGAGAGATCACAAGCAGGGGGAGCGGCAGGCAGAGGGAGGGGGAGAAGCAGGCTCCCCGCAGAGGAAGGAGCCCGATGAGGGGCTCGATCCCAGGACTCTGGAATCATGACCTGAGCTGAAGGCAGTGGCGTAACCAACTGAGCCACCCAGGTGCCCCCATTTTTATTAAGTCTTAAAGTGCGAGATGACCCTACAAAACCGGAGGGCTTGGGGACTTCCAAGGGCTGGCACCTGGGGAAGGGATAGGTAGATGAATCAATAGATACATGGTAGATAGTAGATAAGGAAGGAAGGAAGGATGGCAGGCATTCCATGACATTCACACTGCTAGCGACTTTAATGATTACCATAAGCCTGAGAAGGAGCAATCATTATGTCCATTTTACAGAGGCGGGAACTACCACTCAGGATGGTAACTTGCCTGGCACCACATAGAAAGTGTCAGACCCAGAAATAGTACCCAGGCATTCCTAACTCTAAAATCCAGATTCTTTCCATTCTACCACATGGCCTGTTTAACCTGGGCAGGAAGGAGAGTGTGCAGAAAACACAAGTAATGGGTGAAACTCTTCCATATAAAGATAATCAGACAGCATCCGCACCCCCTGCAGCGTGGGCGGGGCATGTCTCCCCTGCTGCACCCGGAAGATGGCTGTGTCCTCAGGGCCAGAGCCGGGCTCTTTTCCTTCACTCTTCACCCTTTTGGAAGATTTAAAAGGATAATTTAGTCCACCGACCTCTGGATAAAAGAATGATGCACTTTCTGGGGTTATCTAGTTATGAATATCAGAATAATTCTGTGTTTCATCAAATGTAAGGTAAAATCTAAGACATGTTCCAATTCCCGACGTGCTGAAATGTTGACACTGGGCATCTTAGAACTGACCAAATATAGTATTAAAAGCAAACCAGACAGGCGGAAAAATGCCTAATACTTAAGTTTTTCCCTTTCTCAGGGTGACCGGGTAAAATGTGTTTTTCCTGTGACTGTGCTGAAGGTTGATTTTGGTTTTGTCATTGCAGGATTATTGATGTGTGAACTGAAACACGCACATGTGTGCAGGGCATGCAGAGGGGCGTAACATCTCTCCTGCTGACCAAGAAACTGATATCAGTGGTTCTCCAAGAAACAGAGACTAAAGGTCAGGGGTGAGAATGAAATTTACTTCCCAATGAATATTTTTTGTATGGTTTGAGATATTACTCATGTGCACATTTTATTTCTTTAAGACTCCTGTAAAAACAAGTAGTAGGTAAGTTGGATTGCCGTCTATGGCAACTCAAATAACTAGACTCTGACTAATCATATTATCTATCCCTTGACCCCACTTGATGGTAAATATTTTCTTATATCATGCTTCCTGTGTCCTTATGAAACCGTTGATCAGTTTTAAGGTAGCTGGACACTGAGTCGATTTCTATCAAAGTTAGATAGAGGATCCTTTTTTATATCAGGGGATGATCTGTACTGTGGGTCACAACTTCTTTTAAGACCTCCTTAGAGAGTCTGTCTTTTCTCCTAAGACAATTCCAGGCAGACAGTGAAGTAGAATGCCCTTGAGTACCACTTCCCTACTCTTTGCGTGTACTTGATCTCATATTCTTCTACAACACATTGACAAAAACACGTGTTTAAAAATACGATAATTCCAGGCACCTGGGTGGCTCCATTGGTTGAGCATCTGCCTTCAGCTCAGGTCATGATCTCAGGGTCCTGGAATCAAGTCCCTCATTGGGCTCCCTGCTCAACTGGGAATCTGCTTCTCCCTCTCCCTCTGCCCCTCCTTTGCTTGTGCTCTCTCACTCACTCTCTCTCTCTCTGTCAAATAAATAAATAAATAAAATCTTAAAAAAATACAGTAATTCCTAAACTCACAGTATATACAGCCCTTTTATAGATAACATTCAGCAGTGGTTTTTCAATTCGGGATAATTTGGCCCCTTGCTCCCCAGCAACATCTGGTAATTCCGGGGGACATTTTTAGTTGTCATAACTGGGTAGGGGGTGGTAGTGTGGTTGCTAACTGGCATCTAGTGGGTAGAGGCCAAAGATGTTACAATGCACAGGACCAGTCCTCCACAACAAAACATTATCTAGCCCAAAATGTCGGTAGTGCTGATGTTGAGAAAACATGCTTCAGAGTTTCCTCATATTATTTAAAGGAAATGTAATTGAAGCTGGCCAAGAATGGATGAAAATCAACTGGTGAGGGTGTTGGGGGTAGAGATTTCAGTGGCAGTAGGGTGTCACCAAGCGTTTTAGTACTTTGCAGATTATAAGATATAATTAAATCAAGAGAATCTATTCTTTTTTTTTTTTTAAAGATTTTATTTTTTTGACAGAGAGACATAGCGAGAGCAGGAACACAAGCAGAGGGAGGGGGAGAGGGAGAAGCAGGCTTCCCGCAGAGCAGGGAGCCCGACGCGGGGCTCGATCCCAGGACCCTGGGATCATGACCTGAGCCGAAGGCAGCCGCTTAACGACTGAGCCACCCAGGTGCCCGAGAATCTATTCTTTATAGCTAGAATAGGTATTAGTTGATCTAGTATTTTTGCAGTTGAAGAAAACTGAGACTATAAAATCTTGTGACGGCATAGCTGACCCAAAGCAGAACTGTTCCCAGAAGCAGTGACTCCAGATAGGTGAAATTCAGCAAGAGAGGAAGGGCAGCATACGAAGAAGACAGGAGCCGTAGACGAGGAGAGACGTCGGCAGAGTTATTTGCCACAGTTCACATTTGGCTGAGGGGATAGAAATACAAGTATCTTTTTCAAAGTGTTCTATGGTCTTTTCTATCATGACAGGCTTAGGGTTTTAAAGTTACTTCAAATTTTAGCAAGCCTAAAATATTAATACATTTCTAAAATAAATCAAAGAAACAACAGTGTGTATCATGTGCATATGCATTGAGGACACAGTAAAAACAAGTAACACTTTTTAAAGGGCTGTGACTTCAGCTTCCAGCACTCTCTCAGAACTGTGATGAGCTGGTCTGAGTCCTGAGAAGAATATCCTTAAATAAACTAGATTGACTTGAATAGTTCTTAGAACAAGGGTGGTGACTAGGCTTCACTTTACTCTAATTCTCGTTTATCAGTAGTGGCTTCTTGAAGCTCTAGACCATCAAGGACTTTATGACAGAAGTAGAACTCTGTGGGACAGTGTGGAGTGTCAGGATACATAAGAATGTCTGTCATGGGCTTGAGGATGGATTATGGTGGAAATATTTGACATTCCCCGACCAAAGACCAAACCAAGTTAAAAGAACTCTTCTAATTCTATACTGAAGATTGAATCCCACACCTTACCGCTACGATGAGATGAAAGGCCATACTTACCATTTAAAATGAAAGTAGATGGGCGCCTGGGTGGCTCAGTTGGTTAAGCGACTGCCTTCGGCTCAGGTCATGATCCTGGAGTCCCGGGATCGAGTCCCGCATCGGGCTCCCTGCTCGGCAGGGAGTCTGCTTCTCCCTCTCCCACTCCCCGTTTGTGTTCCCTCTCTCGCTGTGTCTTTCTCTGTCAAATAAATAAATAAAATCTTTAAAAAAATAAAATAAAATAAAATGAAAGTAGAGATTTTGGAAGAAACAGAGCAAGAGTCAGACAATGTTTGTCCTGATGCCTATTGTGTCCAACTGTCCTGGGACATCTTTGGTCAAATTCCCCCTCATGAAACAGTACAAATGGACCCCTACCAGATGCAAATCAAAACCACAATGAGCTATCACCTCACACCTGTTAGAATGGCTGTCATCAGAAAGACAAGAGATAACAAGTGTTGGGGAGGATGTGGAGAAAAGGGACCCCTTGTGCACTGTTGGTGGGCATGTAAATTGGTGCAGCCACTCTGGAAAAAAGTACTGAGGTTCCTCAAGAAATTGAAAATAGGACTACCACATAAACTAGTAATCCCACTTCTGTGTATAAATCCAAAGGAAAGGAAAACAAGATTTCACAGAGATAATCTGTACTCCCATGTTCACTGCAGCGTCACTCATAATGGCCAAGATACGAAAACAACCTAAGTGTCTGTCCGTTGATGGATGAGTGGCTAAAGTAGATGTTATATATATATTTGCCAGAAAGCAAAATGAAACTTTGTTTCTTTTAATTAAGCATGATTCAGAAATTTCAGGGAACAGAGATACAGAGATCAATCAAGAGGTATTTCTCCAGTTCCTTTAATTCTCTACCTTATGAAGATATTCAGTAATATTGAGGTAATACACTAATTTTAGTCTTCTGTGAGGAGATAATGTTTCCAAGCATCGAAGCAGTTCTGAACATCCATTGGATTGGTCTTCTTGGCACACACAGAGGGTTTTGCATGTAACTCTTACCTAAGAGAGATGACTGCTTCAGGCATGCATCAGGGAGCTGCATGTAACCCTTACTTCGTGGACATGACAATCAAAAAGATGGCTAGTAACAAGTGCTAGCGAGGATGTAGAGAAATTGGGACCCTCATGCATTGCTGGATGGAATGTAAAATGGTGCAGCTGCCTTGGAAAACTGTTTGTGCCTCAAAACATTAAACATGTAATTACCATATGACCCAGCCATTCCAATCCTGGATATACACCCAAAATAATTGAAAACATATGCTCACACCAAAACTTGAGCACAAATGCTCATAGCAGCATTATTCATAGTAGTCAAAAAGAAATAACCCAAGTGTCTCCCAACTGATAGATGAATACACAAGATGTGGTATATATGAGCAATGGATTTCCTCTTTTGGTTAAAAGTTAACTTAGGAAATTTTTAAAATTTTTGGTGGTCAAATGATCCTTTATTGAAATGTTTTCCTTTGTAGTTCTTAACTAGCGGGGCATTCCACTGCATCACTGTTGACGTCATCTATGACATCATGAGGGTGGTGGCCATCAACATTGCTGCCCACAGACTGGGATGTCCCCAGGATCTCTTTAATGGTTCCAGAGAGTTCTCTGGCTAAAGAATGGTGCCATATCTGTCGGGCAATGTTGACAATCTCATCAAAAGTGATATTTCCACTGTGCTTCATGTTTTTCTGCTTCTTTCTGTCCCTTGGCGGTTTCCTTGAGGGCTTTGATCATCAGGGCAGAGGCAAAGGTCCCACTTCAATCTAGACCTGTCTATTCTGAGTGGTCAGTTTCATCGTCATCCTCAGACCCTTCCAATCACCGGTTGCCTTGATGAGGTCATCACCAAACTCTTTTGGACACAGACCCAGCGGGCCGATCTTCGGGGCCAGGGCAGTTGTGGCACCGACTTCGCCACCGGTGCACCTCAGGTACACGACTTTGATCTCATTGGGGTCAAACTTAGGCGGCGTGGCGGAGGCGGCTGGTGTCAGATGAACCCGGATTCGGGGCGGCCCAAGACAGTTGCACCTTCGCCTGCTCCAAGCCAAAACCCAAAAACTTACATTTTAATTTTAAAATTTATTTCTCTTGCTTTAGACTGAGAGAGAACATGAGATAATCTGCTCGATTTATGATGTCCCCAACTTCTGACAAAATATTAAATTATTATAAATATTTCAGGCATACAAAAAATGAAGGCATATCGTTTTGAAGCATGTATAATTTTGAACATATTGATTAACTCAAACATGTTTATTAAATTACTCAGCTCTCTATATTTATGTATTTATCCTGCCTGTCAAAGAGTCAAACATGTTAAAATTTCCCGCTACAATTGTGTTTCTGGAATTTTCTTCAAATGTTTCTATTGTATTTTGCTCTGAACATAGTGTTTATGGATAAAATCACATGACTCATCATGGTGCAGCTTTATTGATAGAATGGTGGTCTGGGGCTTACTTACTGCTTTTGCCCTACATTATATTTTGTTCAGTATTACTTCTTGCTTTGTTTTTATATTCATTCCTCAGTATATCTTTGCCTATCTGCTTTCAACTTTTTTTTTTTGTCATTTTGGCTCGAGTATGTTTTGTAAACACATGATTGTATGTATCTGCGTGTGCATGCATAAGTATGTATTTAACCAGTCTGAGAACTACTGTCTCTTGATAGGAGAATTTAAGAAGTTCAACCCATTTTCATTATTATAAATGTACCTGTTACTCTAGCACGTTATACATATGTTTTGTTTTTACTCATCATTGTTTTCTGAATTACAACTGATAGACTATGCTTTGTTTTGCTTATAACTTCTTCAATAACTTTTGAAATTATCCAACCACGTTTCTCAAATTTTCAATTGAATAAATCAAAGAATGAGTACATTTAACGGCATAAACATGAAACCATATGTGCATTGAAAAACATCACAAACTAAAGGATAACTAACTGGGAAAGTTAGTTGCAAACGGAGATTGGGCCCGCCAAAATGTAGTTTCAGCGTAGAGACACAGAAGAGAAACAGACAATGCACAAAATTTAAAAAATTAAAAGATATAAAAGTCATACAAAAATAATCAAAGTCAATCGTAATCAAAGCAGTTTTTGAAAAGCTGGAAGTATTCAAAAAGTTCTTTACCCTTTGACCTATCCATTTTTATTCGAGGGCTCAGTCCTAAGGATGTAACTATAAACACAGACAAAAATTTATCTTCTAGGCTGCTTATCAGTGTTTTAAAGAACTTTTTTTTTTTAATTGGACACAACCTGAATATTTGTCTATGCCAGTTAGCTTCTTGTAAGTTGCAAGGAGCAGATACATTCTCAGGTTGTCCTTTGTGTTGCAAGAACATATGCAAAGCAGAGAAAGAACAAAATAATCTCATCAGCCACAGAGCCAGGAACAGGACACGCAGACCTCAAAGAGCACTAAAAAGCTATTCTGATAACAAGCAGCTCTATTAATCTTGTTATCTTGTCCCTTAAAGAGTCGATGTCTGTTGCTTTCTAAGCAAGGCTCTGCTATTGGGATGACCGAATTTCTCTCTGTTGCTGCCCCTTCTGCTTCCAGTTCTCTTTTCCCTAGCATCTAACTCAGTTTCTAGGCTATTAGCTCTCTACAAGCCTCTCTATCTCGTTGGCCTTTGCTTACTCGTGCTGTGCAGTCTTCCGATAGGTTTCTCATTACTAAGGCTCTCTGATTCGGGATCTACGTGCAGCCACATTAGTAAAAAGATTGACATTAAACACAGACCCAATCACGCTGCTTACGAAAGTGTTTACTCTGTAAGTATTAATGCTCTTGAAAGCACCGCACGGATTTCAGGCTACTGTCTTAAGGTCTTTTGTAATTTTATTTCAAGTTTTTCCTAAAGAAGCAAGCCATGGTAATTACAGAGCCCTCGGGAAATACAAAAAACATACAAGAGAATGAAATGACCCACAATCCCATAATCCAAAGATGGCAATTAATGACATTTTGGTGTTTTTCGTAAAGCTCTTTGACCTGCCTGAGGTAATTTCTTTTTTTTTTTATTCTTATGTTAATCACCATACATTACATCATCAGTTTTAGATGAAGTGTTCCATGATTCATTGTTTGTGCACAACACCCAGTGCTCCATGCAGAACGTGCCCTCCTCAATACCCACCACCAGGCTAACCCATCCTCCCACCCCCCTCCCCTCTAGAACCCTCAGTTTGTTTCTCAGAGTCCATCGTCTCTTATGGTTCGTCTACCCCTCCGATTTCCCCCGCTTCATTCTTCCCCTCCCGCTACCTTCTTCTTCTTCTTTTTTTTTTTCTTAACATATATTGCATTATTTGTTTCAGAGGTACAGATCTGAGATTCAACGGTCTTGCACAATTCACAGCGCTTACCAGAGCACATACCCTCCCCAGTGTCTATCACCCAGTCACCCCATCCCTCCCACACCCCCCCACTCCAGCAACCCGCAGTTTGTTGCCTGAGGTAATTTCTTTCCCCCCTTTTTCTCCCTAATGTGAGGGGGGCGGATTCTGTTATTTAAATAACCAAAGATTAGAATATTTATGACCAAATATAAAAATGAACTAAATTATACATTTTTGATTATGTGCAGCATGGGAGATCCAATATGACCAAAAATAGGGCATCAAACACTTTTAGTATCTTTCCACTTAAAATACAACTTCAGGCCTCCAGTCCTATTCGCTTGTTGCTTTTGCATAACGCTGAGCTGAACCTTACCTTGAAATTGCACATGAAAATGAAGTTTGCCCGGAGAATTCATGGTGTAAATGGGAAGACTAGGGACATGTTTGACCTATGTAAGGGCTCTCAAGGATGTTTAAACACTTGAACGGCATTCTTAAGTGTTTATATACTCATTAATTACTAGTTTTCAATGACTCTTCTTCTGCTTGTTAGTTTGTCAAGTAGAGCAAAGAATAGGGAGAGAGGAAAATAAGTTCACATTCTGAGGCATGCTTCATAATCCCAAACCAAAGCACGCTATCTAGTGTTTTCTTCATTGGCTTAATGGTCCAGGTTGTGTCTAGAGTTACTAAATAAACATTTGTTGAGTGAAACCAAACCATTGAATCTTCGAAGTCCCATTCAAGATGAAGAGCATAACTCAGGATTTAACTCTCTCGTCCTCTCCTTTAGGAAGCGCTGTCTGGTGTCCAACCAAATTTTACATTCCTTGACCACATTTCTCCTAACAAGCATCAGTCTCTTATTCTGGCTTCTCTGTAAGTCTTTGTTAGTAGAGTCTAAGCTCCATTTTTACTGTATTTTCAATTTATAGCATAATATCTAGCCCCCAACATTTTCTCAGTGGATGTTTGTTGGTTGAGTGGATACATCAACGTGCAGGCTACTGGTTACCTTAGAATTTTTAAATTTCTAAAATTTGAGACCATATTCTTTTATTCTCCATTTCTTTTAGGGCTGGCTATTCTGCTTTTGTGAGGTGGTGATTACCCTAATGATTACGTGAAGTCATTATACTGGGTGAAGCAAGACACGAAGAGGATCTTACCAGGCAGCTAAAATAGTTCTCAAGGAAAACCATAGAGGTAGATCTGTATGTGTGGGCAAGCTATACCTAAATTTGGAAACTTTGTACAGGCACTAAGCAAAACTGCATTGTATCAACATTATCGGGTAGAAATCAATTCATGTTGTCACAATTAAGCTAATCTATTTTAATATATTCTGTAAGGCAGACTTATCCTTAATTAGAATACTTTTCAATCTTTTTCGTCCTTTCCAAGCGGTAAAGCTTTTATTAAGCCAAGAATATAAAATCTTTTTTTTTTAAAGGATTTTATTTATTTAATTGACAGAGAGAGACACAGTGAGAGAGGGACCACAAGCAGGGAGAGTGGGAGAGGGAGAAGCAGGCTTCCCACCGAGCAGGGAGCCCGATGCAGGGCTCCATCCCAGGACCCTGGGATCATGACCTGAGCCAAGGCAGACGCTTAACTGACTGAGCCACCCAGGCGCCCCAAGAATATAAATTCTTAACAAGGATCTAACATCTACTAAATATTTTTAAATTCTTTCCTTAAATTCTCAATACATTTTATACTTCTTATTTGGCACTTTTCACAGTGACCAGTCAGTGGCATAAAGGGTGTATGTGTTTGTGTCCTCACAAAAGAATGAACACTGAGATGGTAAGAACCACTTTCTCATTAATATGGTACCACCTTTATCCTATATTAATACATTTCTCATGAAAGAATCATGGTAATTTTAATCGAACCAAAATAATCTCATTTCTTTGCAGAGAATCACTGCATAATCACCCTAGAAAAGGCAATACTATAGGAATAAAAACCAGATGCCAGGGGTTGGTGGAGGGGAGCAGTGGTTGACTACAAAGAGGATTCATGGAGGAATTTTCAGGCTGATAGAGCTGTTCTGTATGATACGGGGTGGATAATGAGTCTGAATTTGTCAAAATCCATAGAACCATACATCATAAAGAGTGAACTTCAATGTATACAATTTTTTAAAAGATCCACCAGAGGGGCGCCTGAATGGCTCAGTCGGTTAAGCATTTGCCTTCAGTTCAGGTCATGATCCTGGAGTCCTGGGATCAAGCCCCGCGTCAGGCTCCCTGCTCAATGGGGAATCTGCTTCTCCCTCTCCCTCTCCCTCTCCCCCCTGCTCGTGTTCTCTCTCTCTATCAAATAAATAAACAAAATCTCTCAAATAAATAAATAAAATCTTAAAAAAAAATCCACCAGAATGTTAGGGGATCCCAAGATGGTATGCAGACTTTGACAGATGGATCTAACTATATTACAAATGTATGATAGAACATCAGGAAGGGGTTGGGGAAGAAAGAGCTCATCTAAGTAACTTTGGAAACCACTGTTTGGACTTGGAATTATCAGGCTAAAGACAAAAGATGCTATATGCAAACACTGTTCTCCAGTTAGTAAATTTGTTCCTCATGGGGTTATGAGTTAACAATTCCGAAACTCTTTTACATGTAAAGTGAGTAATAATGGACAAACAAGATGATGGATAATGGGGCCAGGTTTTCCACTATCAGAGAGGGAAGTTAGAGATAAGCAAAGGGAAGACAGTAGAAGAAACCCTATGGTACTAGATTAGAGTCAGGAACACGAATATAAACTCATATTTAATTTTAAATACATATATCTCATATATCTCCATATTTAAATTATGAACATATATAGCATACATCAGTATGAACTCGTATTTAACTTTAAATATATTAAATATTTGAATTAAATACATATTTTATAAATTAAAATTTAGAAATTAAATTATATTTAAATATATTTAAAGTTAAATATGAGTTCATGCTGATGTATGATATATATGATATATATATTCACACAGACGATATAGAAATAATAATAGTTACATGTATAAACATGGATTGATATATTTCACATATGTTATTTATATCTTATATATATTACATATTATAATAGATATAGAAATAATAGCTGTATCTCTATATATTATATATTATAATAGATATAATAGATAGAGAAATAATAGATATGTGTAGAAACACAAGTTAATGTATTTTTCTTTTCTTTTTTTTTTTTAAGATTTTATTTATTTATTTGACACAGAGAGAGAGAGAGACAGCTAGAGAGGGAACACAAGCAGGGGGAGTGGGAGAGGGAGAAGCAGGCTCCTGGCCGAGCAGGGAACCTGATGCGGGGCTTGATCCCAGGACCCTGGGATCATGACCTGAGCCGAAGGCAGACGCTTAACAACTGAGCCACCCAGGCGCCCCAAATTAATATATTTTTCATATATTATTTATAATACGTTATTTATGTATTATTTTATGGCATCATAAGACGTCATAAGACGTCAACTTTATGTACTCATAACTATATGTATTTTATATATCTATATATTCTAGTTCTGTTCCAGAGAACTAGAAACAGTGACACCCAGTATAGGATTGCCAGAGAAAATGCAGGAAGCCCAATTAAATTTGAATTTCAGAAGAACTGAATATGCACACATACATAAATCTCTAACTGAGCAAAATATCTGTGGAAGGGTAATGCCAGGGAACTGGAACTGAGTGGCTGGGGACTGAGGGGAAGAAGGTTGCTTTTCGCTATACACCCTTTTACCTAATGCATATGTTTCCTACTCATGAAATAAACAATTCAACAAGCAAAAGCTTATAGGTGCCTCAGTAAATAAAGATATTTTCTAAAAATTGGGGGGAAAATAACGTTTTAAACCTTCTCTGCTTTTTAGGGAAATCTTGTACGATTGTTCTGTAAGCCCCAGAGCCCACTGTTCTCTCTGCATGAGTAGGTGTTTTCTGCCCTTCTGCAGACAGCTTGTGGTCTTGGGCAATGTAACCTTTCCTTCCCAGACCTTCTTCCTGGCATAGAGGAAGGGAGACAGGCAGAGGATCTGGACGGGGAGACAGCAGGAGGATGTGGTCCTGGGGATAATGGCCATTTAATCAAAGTCTCCCCTTGAGTTAAGAGAAGTGAGACTCTTATTCTCAGCTGTTGACACATGAAAATCCCTTAATTAAACTCAGCCTGGCTACCTGTGCCAATCATTTCAGGCTAGAGACAAGGCAACATGCTTTACATGATGTAAAGGAAACTGTTTTTTAACGGAGGGAATAATTAGCCTGTGCAATTCACTGTCACAGAATCACATAGAGACAAGGTAGCTTAATATAATTTTAAAAAGATAAAGAAAAAGAAAAGGCAAGCTTTCAGCCCGACCCGGGTAAGAATGGCCTCCACCGTGACAGTGCAAGCCAGGGTGAAGCTTCCAGGTCTCTAGAGGCATATGGTAATCGTCAGAAAGGAATGCTGAGGTCAAGTGGGATTTCTTCCCACTGAGCAAGCGCAGAAAAAGGTAGACCAGGGGACTGTATGCCTCCTGCAGGGCCGGCTACACCAGAGTGGTGAGCCAGAGATACCTGGAGAGAAAGTAAATAGTGCAGCGAAACTTCTCTTTTGGTTCAGCCTTGCCACAACAAAAGGACCTGCCAAGGCTTGGCCAGCGGGCTGGGCTAAGAGAGCCGGCTTTCTCTGCTGTCCATGGAACTGACTGGGGCTGAAGTCCCTGAAAAGGGAGATGGAATGTCACAGCCCGACTGTCCTACGCCCAGCTCCGCAGACATGGAGCATGGACCAAGCTTTCCTCCCCTTGTAGGGACCGCCGCCCTCCTCGGGAGAGACTTCTATGTAGAGGACAATGCCCTCAGTTTGATATGAAAGTTACAGGGCTGACGAGCAGAACTCTTGACGCCTTTACTCCAGTCTTGTCTCCTGAACTGCAGGAAGTCATGTAGAAAGACGTCAACTTTATCAAGCCTTGTGGGGAAAAATATATTCTTCTCCACGTTCATGTCCCTCTTCTTTGCTCTCGCTTTTTTTTTTTTTTTTAAGATTTTATTTATTTATTTGACATGGAGAGAGAGAGAGGGAGAGAGCAAGCACAAGCAAGGGAACGGCAGGCAGGGGAGAAGCAGGCTCCCCGCTGAGCAGGGAGCCCCATGTGGGGCTCGATCCCAGGATGCTGGGATCATGACCCGAGCCGAAGGCAGACACTTCACCGACTGAGCCACCCAGGCATCCCTCTTCTTTGCTCTCTTACGTGAAGGGAAAACTTCCTCACCAAGTGCTCAGATCTCACTTCCTCAACAGGTGCTCAGATCTCACCGCCTTGGTAAGGATCGGCTGGAACTCGGCATCCTGCACTTGTGTGTGGGCAAGAAGAAAAACACTTAAAGACCCCTCACCTCATGTAGCTCAGAGAATGCAGTGCCTGCACCATCCCTTTAAAACAACGCCAACACCACCAACTAAACCAGGTCTTTGATACTGTGGTGAGCTTCAGCCACAGATACCTTTTCTTTCTCTGGTTTGTGTTGCGGAGAATGGAGGGTTGCCCCTTAGCAACTGTATTGCTTTCCTTGTGTTGCTATTTGTCAATGCTTTTATACGATTTCATTTCTCCTGTGCTGCTGGCTGGCAAGGTTAGCACTGCGCTATTGGTAACAAGCCACCGCGTCTGCCCCTGTGCAGCCCCAGATTCTTCTTTGCCGAGGGAAAAGGAATAATAATTGTGAAAAGGGGTACGACAAAGAGAACAGCTCCAACAGGGCGGGGGAAAATGTTCCATAGCTTCATGATGACTCACCTGTGAGGTCTCTACCTTCTGTGTTAGGGCTTAAGTAATCAATCATCTCCTCCACCTCAGTGGATTGGAAAGAAGGCTTGAAATCAAGAGACTTTGGTTGGAATTCTGACTTTGGCACTTGTATTCTTAGTACAAATTACTTAATATCTCTAAAATTGCATGTCATCATTTATAAAATGTCATTAAAAATGGCTCTTGACAGGGGCACCTGGGTGGCTCCGTAGGTTAGGCGTCTGCCTTCCCCTCAGGTCATGATCCTGGGGTCCAGACTACCTGCTCAGCGGGTAGTCTGCTTCTCCCTCTCCCTTTGCCCCCTCCCCACCCCTGTTTGTGCGCTCTCGTGCTATCTCTCTCTCTCTTAAATAAATAAAATGGCTATCAACAAAGATGTTGTAAGGAAGAAATAAAGGAATTAAAATTCCTGCCAAGACCATTTTCTCATTAAGTGCTTGTTGAGTCTGAATGAAATTGCTCCTGAGTCTTAGCATTATCCTTTTTCAAGTATCTAGATTTGTTCTTGTCAAAGACAGTTTCTGACTGTTACAGGTTTGCAGTGGAAGGGAATACCCCACAGAGATGCTGAAGTAAGTTTACAAAGGGTTTTGAAA